ATATATATATATATATATGTATTTATATATATATATGTCCATTTAAAATTCTTTTAGTTCATATATTTGTACATGATCTAGCATATTTTAAATGTGTACTCATTATATGTTTGTTAAAACCTAAAAGGTTCTCATTCATCTGTCATCCTGGAAGACAGGCAACACACATGCTGGATGAAGATAGACATGCCATGCCTTCATAAATATCTTTGATGAGACTTGTTTACGATAGAAATAGAAAAATAACAGTGATCAGCCATGCTATGCTTAGTTTCATCTGTCTGCATTACATGGGTGGAAATGATTTAAAGCTGGAATTTAAAGTTCCCCTTACCTGGTTCTTAAGGTCTTCAATGGTTTGATAGTATTTGCTGTAGTCCCGGGGCTCTCGCTGGCTTGAGTTGCCATGCTTTTCATACCATTCTTTGATTTTACCTTCCAGCTCATAGTTTGACTCTTCCAGAGCCCTGACTTTGTCCATGTAGGAAGCCAGACGGTCGTTCAGGTTCTGCATGGTTACCTTTTCATTTCCAGAGAGAAGGCCGCCACCATCTCCTCCGTATCCACCACCAAAGCCTCCTCCAAAGCCACCTCCACCGAAGCTACCTCCACCAAAGCTGCCACCTCCAAAGCTGCCTCCTCCAAAGCTGCCTCCTCCATAGCCACCTCCTCCACAGCTTCCAACAAAGTTGCTTCCTCCATAGCCTCCACCAAAGCTGCCTCCTCCAAAACCTCCATAGCCACCTGATGAACCACCAAAGCAACCTCCACCAGAGCTTCCTCGGCTAAAAGAGCCACCGCTGAACCCCCCTGAGCTAAACCCTCCACCATGGGAGCTTTTGCTGCTGGAAATTCTAAGGGATGATCCTCCACCTCCTCCTCCTCCTCCACTGCGGGAGGAAGAGAACTGCTTGCTGGAGCTGTATCGAACAGACATGGTGATGTAGCTTAGCCCAGGGAGTGCCTGCTACCAAGGACAGTGACAGGCCCTTATATACTGAGAGGGTGTGTCTCGCAGGTCTTCGGGTTTGCTTGCTTGTACGGTTTTCTTTTTGCCAGCTTAGCATGTTTGGCTGATGATTGCATAAATTATTTGCAGTAATAACCAATACCTTTTCAATGCATTTCAGTTTGCTTGGGTACAACAGGAGACTTGCTGTGTTGAAACTGAAAATGGGTGGAGTTCAGATGAGTACATTTTACCTTTTGGAGACCATTGAGTAACAATTTTTCTAATGCTAATTTAGGTTGTATTCAGTGTTTTCTAAATAAGAAAAAAGAAATCTAATTACAAATTATAGTTGAAATAATTTTCAGATTGACATTTTAAACAGCTTTAAGAATAGCAGTAAGTAGCAAGTGTTTACTGTAATAATCATGTTGTAATAAGGATTATAAACTAAGTAAACAAAAAAAAAA